GCGTGCACGGCTCACAACATGCCAAGGTCCCCACCCAGGGACCCCATGCCCACTGCCCAGGTGCTTCGGAGCCACAGGCAGGCAGCCGTGCTCCCTGGTCCAGGGAGCCCCCTACAGGAACACACACCAGGCCGACTCGGCAGCATCACACCCTAGAGACTCATACACAGACAACACGTGCACTGCTGCAGAACAGACGCGGCCCGCCGGCCCGGCTGACACACACCCCGCAGAGACCTTCACTTCTCGCCAAGCATTTATCGACCTCTCTCAGCATGAGGTCCTCGGTGGTGAAAAAGACAGCCATGACCACCGTCCCCCTGGGGAGCTCGACGGCCTTGTCCTGGGCCTGGGCACAGAGCAGTCCGCAAGCAGTGCCAGGTGGTGGCGAGGGGTGTTGCTGTCGGGGGGTGGCCTCTTCGGGGGTGAGCTGAGGACCCGCTTTCGAGATCCGTCCCAGAGTCTGGCTCCTTGGAGGGCTGTGCTGGAAGCCTGGAAGCGGGGCTGGCTGTGGGCAGGAAGGCCACCGAGGGGTCTTCACTCCCAGGAACCGCAGGGGCCGAGGCAGAGGGGCGGAGACTGGTGCAGAATGAGGGACTGTCGGGTTGGCCGTGCAGGGGAGGGCGTGCAGGGCCGGCTCAGAGGTGCAGAGCAGTCCAGAGTGTCCTCTGGCAGTGAGCGTTTGGGCTTTGTTGGGCCAGGCACCTCAACCTCTTGGCCACGCACGGACGCACGCCTGCGCTCACTGCGCCCTCCCAAGGAAACTGGCGTGGAAAGCAGGTGACAACAGGCGGCCTGTGACTGCCGGTCCCTGAGTCCAGCGCAGGGGAGAGGCGAGGCCCCGGGGTGCTGCAGAGCCTCCTCGGCCGCCCAGACCAAGGAGGTGGGGTTTGGGGCGGAGTGACTCAGCCCGATTTTATGTCCATGGAGGTGGCGAAAGCTTGGGGTGGCCCGCAGAGGAGGGGGCCCCTGGGGGTGTCAGGACTGCGGCCCCTGGAGGTGGCTGGGTGCTGGGAACGCCAGAAGGTGACGGGAATGAGTCCGGTAAGTATCCTCTTTCAGGCCGCTCGCATCCTGGCCGCTGGTACATGGAGATCACAGGGACTTTGCTCCTCAACCTGTGAGGAGGGGTCGAGTAAATCGCACAGGTGTCGTGACTGGCTGGGGGTGGGCAAGTGTACTCGAGGGTGTGTCCACATGGAAGGGCTGGGCGCGTGCGTGGGGCCGCCGTGTCCACACCCACAGTGAGGCCACACGTCCCACAGCTCCCCCTTCCGACGCGACGCGCAG